CAGCAATTACAGCATATTTTTGAATATTTCTTTTTTTAATAAAAAGCCCTATACTTACGTCACGCTTTAGGCTAAATATTTTAACGCCATTAAACTTAAGGGGTAAATATTTTAGATAAAAATCCTAATGTAGGAGAGAGACCATAAGTTGCTGCCAACATCAAGAAAGAACGATTGCTAAGCTTTGTCATGTCAAGTCATGTCATTTTGACATTTACTATTGATAATTTGACAAATGTAAACAATAAAATAGAATTTTCATAATTTCACGCGGATGATGCCGCACGGAAACAGCTAGTTAGAAATAATGCAAGACTTGCCAGTATTCCTGGTGGTGATTAAGTCAAGTACATACCACGACCGCAGGCTGCCTTGTTTATAAGGAGCATGTGGTAAATTTGCTTTGTGTTTAAAGTGATGTTAGCCGTCCTCCCGTCCTGTCCGGTGGCGAATGAATTGCGTCCGGTTGCGGAGAGATGTGCTTTATGATAGGGTTCACCTAGAACCTGGAACTGTTATCTGTCGCCTGAAGATTGGATAATGCAGCAAGCTGATAACGATCTTATGTGATGGTGGTTAAAGTTTGATTTCGTATGACGGGTTGAATATGGCTATGGTGGCGTTTATTGGAACGAAATTGATAGCGTCCATGTATTGAGTGTCGATGTTTATTGTATCCTTAAAGTGATTGGATATGTTCGTTTATGTCTTTAGAACCCAATATTAACTAAGAAATTTGATTCCTATAGGTACTTAAAAGACGAGTTCCATAGTTTTACTTTACCAAACAAAAGAATAAATACATTATTAGATATTCCATACGTCTACGAGCTCGTAGCATTAAACTTTGAACTGGTACGTCAAACGCCTTCAATTTAACAGGTCCTTTAGAGACTAAGTAGAGACGGCAATCTAAATGGTACAGTAAAACAGCTTGAGGCAAGAAAGGCTATCAAAGTGGGCATCAACGGGGTAGAGGAGGGGCAGCCTGTTGGTAGATAGAACCTTTGCGTAGCGTCCAGTTAACATTGAGAGAAACGCCACAGGGCGTCAGATAACATCATCGCTTACCATGACGTATGAGGATTATGAAGCTTCTTTTCACTGAATGTAGGGTATTTAGCAACTGTACGACTTCGCAAGTTACGTCTGTTTCTTATAGAAATGTGTATTTCTTCAATAGAGCTGTTTAATAGGTTAATGAAGAAGGTTTTATAATCAGGTTTCATTTATTTATCATCCTGCCCTTGTCTCTACAGTTGGTCAGTATGTGATGCTGTTCCATAAATCTTTATTACATCTGAATTCAGTCGTTTCTTAAGCTTATCCTCTTTTACAAAAATGTTTTATACTTTCTTCGTCTTTTTTCTGACTTCTTAGTCATTATCGTCAAATGTTAATTAATCTATTATTATTAACTTAAATTCATGAAATATTTTTCTGTTATTTAATGTGCACGAAATGTTAAACTCAACTCTTTTTAACAACCATAAAAGTTATATTGAACAGTTTTCAACACTGAACTTGTTCCTAATTTTATACAAACAATTTAAAAATTACTAGAGCATTATTAAATTCGAAACCAAATCATTACACACCACACTGAGTGTGAGAGCAGTTACAGTTGGTATAAACTGTTACCAACACGAGGAACTGAAACTGGGCTTGTGCAACGTTACGGAAACAGTTCGCAATTAGCAAATTTCAACGAGAACGGGTTCAACTCAGGTACGAATCAATTGACGCAAATGAGCTCTGATGTCGGAGTTTGAATATTTTTAGCTGTTAAATTTCTCAACGTGTTTCGAAATGTAATCAAACAGTTTTCGTATTAGAATTCGATCTAGTTGGGATTAGAGGTCTTATCACGAATATTCATGAGAACGGTTTCGTAGCGTCATCTACAAGATTTGTATTAGATTTGTGCAATGAATACGTTCTCGAAATTATGTTATGGAAATATTCGTGATAGACCCTCAGTTGCATAAATAGCCGAATAGCTAAACTACTAAAAGTACAGTAATGTCCAAAATCGTATCGATTTAACCATTACCAACTGACTAAAGAATCTAAGGAATTATTTTATCTTACTAATATTATAAATGCGTAAGTTTAGATGGATGGGTGAATGGATGTTTGTTAGAGTTTGTTGCCTAAACGGATAAAGGGATCTGGATGAAATGTCGCATAGATGTAGAGGATAGTCTGGAAGAACACATGGGATAGTTGCTTTGTTTTTTTTCCGCGCGCACGGAGTCGCGGACGTAAGGTAGTTTAAAATAAATTAACTTAGTATAAGCAGCTAAAGATTTACTTAAGTAAACTTACTCGTTATAAGTTCACGTAAATTAAACCGATTAAAGTCGCTTCAGGTCATGATTTGAGGTGATTTATGGATGTTCAAACATACGACATGACTACATTTAATAGTAAAATATTATCGTAACAAGAGGTGAAAATTCAAGTGAAACTAAGTAGTTTGAAGTTATGGAACTCTGATACCAACTTTACAACTTGCTTCCGAAAATTCCAGATGAAACTCTCTTTAAGTATGGTCCGGCCACTGAAGCCAAACTTCATTTCGTTTCTTTTAAAACTTCTTTTAACTTTATCATATTCAAAATAGTTGACTAGAATAAAGTAAGAAGATTTATAATATTTTTTTACTTTGACAATTATAACATTATATTTTGAACTTCTTTTCTATTTTTACTTTTAATTACACCGTCAGAAGAATCATCATCTCCCCTACCTTATCCTACTCCCGTGGGGTCGTCGCACCTGTTTTTTGTCCGCCACATTTTTTTTTATAACATAAGGTGGCAAACGAGCAAGCGGCCACCTGAATCCGCCAATATGGCGAAGCAACCGCTGCCCATAGACATCCGCAACTGCAGATGCGTTACCCACCCTTATCTGACAGAGGAGGAGACACACATAAAGAGGATATCACCCCTTCCTATGTATCTCCTCCTCCGTCAAATCAACTTCCTCTTTCTATCCTCTCCTTATAAGAAAAGAGTGGTAAAGAGAAAGGGACTTAAATTAGGCCTTCGGCACCACACTCATCAGACGAAACACGGAATTGCTTCCATTTGACGCCTGTCTTCTGTGTGGTCGTGGTATTACACCGGGCGAGCCGGCCCATACGTGCTAAGATGTTAAAGCGGGCACTACCACTGTAGATACATAACCGTCACAACAAACATCACAATATAAATAGCAATAAATTGTAATTTATACTTATTTAAAAAAAAACCAAGTCTGGTACGTTATTTTACGGCATATTTTCTACCATCAAAATGTTACTAATCATAAATTCCGTCTACGTTTGGAAATTAAAGACGCTTAGAGAACATCAAATCCTCAGCTATCTAAATATTAGAGTAACAGCGTAACTCGTCCGGAATTCATATATGAATTGAATTCATGAACAGAAATCTCGGCACGTAAGCCCGCTGTTTGCAAATATTTTACTTTCCTTTGATTTAGTGGATGTATGTTTTGAACTAGAGTATGTTAAAATTATCAACTTAAAGAAAATACGTTGTTCAGTGGTTGAAATTAAAACTTGTATACCAATTTTCGAAAAAAAAAAGTTTTCTTATTTATACATATAAGGACACTAGTTAAAAAAATACTAACGGCCCCACCCAGAGTCATAACAGTTCCTTATATTTATCTTTATATCATAACCTATCTGAGGAATTAGTGGCCACCTGAATTCGCTGAAATAGCGAAGCAACTGCTGCCCATAGACATCTGCAAAAACCGATGGATGCTCATTTATTTGGAAGAGTAGGGGGTAGTAGTGCACAGAAAGAAGATATGTCCCTCTCCTACGCGTCTCTACCTCTGTTAATGAAGAGAGCGCTTAATGAAAATTACTCATAGTGTACTAAGAAACGCCCTTTATTACTATTAAACCACTTTAAGTACTGCAATACTTACGGACGTATTCTGTATAGCTAAAAGCGGTACTAACAATGCAAATGCGGGCACGTGAAACTTTTATCAGTGCGCCTGTCAATCGCACAACGATGTCGAGAGAATTTTACAATGGGGAAAAAGTGTATTCACTTTTGCCACTTTGTAAATTTTCCCGATAACACTATTGTTTTGACTGCGACTGAAGTATTGAGTTATCTCGTTGTGATGTTATATGACATAATTTTCTATACGAAAATATCAAGTTTGTTATCGTAAACCTATACTAATCTGTAACTATATTAATATTATAAAGAGGAAAGATTTGTATTTTTGTATTTATTTAAATTACACAAAAATTACTGGCCCGATTTTGAAAATTCTTTCACCGTTAGAAAGGTAATTTATCTGTGAGTAATATAGGCTATATTTTTAATTTCACATGGGCGAAGTGGCGAGCAAACGTTAGTATATAATAAAGGTTGGCGTAAGTCACCTATGAAAGACTTAGCTTGCGGTTGTACGTAATATGAACTTGTACTCTAAATTTAGTGAGTTACAATATGTCGAGGAAAGCACGCTTGGTACATAATGCTGTTGGACGTCACATTTATGTATGGAACATGTACAGACTAAATAAGTAAGTTATGAAAATTAATAACGTAGAGGTTCGATTACTAAGAAGCAAAATATTACATCACTCTGTGACTCAGATCTGTGAGGATAATTAAGCTCTTTGTCAGCATAATTTATGACTATACTTGATTAAATTATCTTTATAATATACTAGCTGTTAATGCGACTTCGTCCGCAATGAAATAATAAAAAAAGTAAAATATCTGGCCTATGTTACTCGCTGATAACATAGCTTTTTAATGGTGAAAAAAAAAATTAAAATCGACAAGGAATTTTATAAATTATATCAATACATAAAATTTTTTTTTTTCGTCTTTATGGTATAAGTATAGACTAACGACAATAAGTGTTTTTTTACATTGTTAAAATTTTTGAGTTTTTTTTCCGAATGCTATAAATGTGCCTGTAAAAAAATTGTAACAAAAATTATGTTCCAGGTAAAGGCGACCGCACCGAAGATGGACCGTAACGGTTATTTCTTCTACGTAACATCAACGGCTAAGAAAAAGAAAATAAGCTTAATGCAACCGAAGCCTCCGCGAGTGGCTTTCGCTGAAGAAAAACGTCGCCCGGGGGTGGCTGAGAGAGTTTACACCCACGGCAGTGTGGCTCAAACCGCCACTGAGCACGGACGTGGGGACTATATGTCGCAGAGAGGTACCAACGACGCGCCGCGAGCGCGGTTATACACGCAACTAGAAAGTTATCAACCCCGTTATCATACTATACGTGAGAACAGTGATAAGAGAGTGGAAAGTGATATCAGAAGGAAGAAGCGTGATACAAGGATTTCTGCCTATCCACAAGTTCAAAGGTAAGTTTAGATTTGTTTTGAATTTACTTTTAAACTGTCATTATTTTAGCGAAAACCTTGTGTACTTTTAAAGTAAACTTGATGAATTTGGATACTACATTAAAAAGTACACATATTTTCTTTTAATACAGTCAAAAAAACTCTTTTTTTGTGTAGATTTAACAAGTTTTCCCTGTGATATTTTTTTTAACATCAACATGATTACGCGTCGTGTTAGATAAATTAATGTAAACAATATCGTATACACGGATATTGTTAATTTAATATTGCAAGTAACAAATAAGCGAGTACTATTCGCTGTTTTGTTTATCCAGAGCCGAATGTTGAATTCAATACACTGCCGCTGCCATGACCACATTATCAATATTATAACAGCGACTAATCATAGTTTTGTTTGTGTTTATGCAAATGTAATTAAACAACTGATTTTAGGAATTCATAATGGATTCGACTGTATCAATTTGCACGGGAGATTTCAGATTCAAAATGAATATTAATATGATCGTATGTGTTGCAAATGTTGTAGTCAATTTGTCAACTTTGTTAATTTATTATCTAACTAAAGATTTTGATAATCTGACGAATTAACAGTTTGTAAATTATTGGATTCAAGTTGTGAACTATGGCAATTTTGGTTTTAAATTTCCAAGATTTCTGACTACATGATTAAAATAATAACTTGAAAATTAACTTATCAAAAACAAAGGTTTTGTACATCTTGTCATATAAACTAGCTGTTGATCGCGACTCCGTTCATGTGAAATTTAAAAATATAGCCAATGTTACTCTGCGATAAAGTAGCTTTCTAAAAGTGAAAGATTTTTTTTAAATCGGATTAGTAGTTTTTAAGTTATTTCAATACATACAAAAATACAAATCTTTCCTCTGTCCATTTAAAGAGACATTTACATTTTATTTTTTGGTATTCATTGGTTCTGAATCGACTTTCATAATTCTTGCGTCTTTAGAACGTCATGACTGAGTATACCATAGACTACATTTTCAAACAATGGGAAGGATATGGATGTAACAGAAAATATATATAATGTATATTATACGTCATTCAGGCGAAGCTGGGACGAATCCCTAGTTTGTATAAATAAATAGTTTCCGCAAGCTGGTAGAGCTAGTTGGAATATTAACAATTTTACGGTGACACACATGTGAATGTTCTAATGCAATGCAGGTGTTGACTAGTCGTACTAATTGGTGCATGAAATACTCAGTTAAAAGTTCCAATGAGTTATGAAACTATGAACATTGTCTGATTCTCGATGAATTTTTCTTTACAAAGTTATATCGAGTTTGAAAGGTTAAAGTTCCAATGCTTTTCTTTTAAACACTTTTGTTATATTTTTATTGATTTACTTGTAAATGTAGAATAGTTAAAATAATACTGATCTTAACTTTTGTGAAGAATAATTTCTTATTAACTAACTATGGTAGTTAACATTTAACATTTTATTGACCGACTTCCCAAAAAAGGAGGTACTCAATTCGTCTGTATTTTATTATGTGTGTTATACTATAACATCACCATGTCCCTGTCCTTATGCTTCTGTAAGACGTGCCATTTTTTCTTCCTCGAGGTTATTCTATTATGGGCGTCACAGCCATGTTATGCTTTAATAATTCATTACCTCTTATGTTTTCTTCCAATTTGCACAGAATACCTTACCAATATGGCCGTCGTATCGTCGAGCTAATGCAACACCCTTATTTTGACATCCGACTACTATCCGATTATTAACATAACAAGCACAATTACGACATTTTAAAACCATGACATAAATATATTAAAATGATGTTTTGGATCACAATTACAAAGCTTATATCGTTATTTCAAATTATGACAAATGGTACTGATATAGAATACAGAATACGTCAAAATAGTCAAAAAGCTAACACTATCTTCCGTTATCACAGTATCAATCCCTTCTTGATCATGTCACCTTTCACGCAATCCATATATCACATTCTAGATCTAACTATAGCTACTAATAAACATCCTGTATTTTTGTATTCATTATTAGAGTAAAGTTAAAACTTCTAACCGAAAACATCAATCTCATTCCCATAGGATTATCCCAATATAAAAACCACTGAGCTTAAATTAGAACGTAACACAGATTCTGTCTGATTTACGTATATAAACTACAGTTCGATTTGTTGCTATATGACGCTGCTCGTCTGTCTGTACCCTAATTTGTAGTAATCCTCTTTACCTTAAACAGCGTAGTACGTGATTAATAATGCAACATACAGTCCGTAATAAAGCCGAAGTTTATTGATAAACCAAAGAGGATTAAAGAATACGGTATAGGTATGTTATTAAGGTTTATTTTGCAATGGAGTTTTTTAAATGCGGGATCGTTGTGGTTTTTAGCGGATATGCGGCGAGGGCCTGATTGAACGACGAAAAATGAAATGAAAACATCACATTGAATGATGGACAGACCGTCGGTTACGATTGTTTTATTACGTTCCGTTCTGTTTATTTAGTATATCTGTGTTTTTATTTCTCCTTGTAAATATCTATGTTTATATTCTTTGTCGAAATATTACGATTTTTCATAGATACATTTTGACACATGGACAAATGACACGATCGTTACTTTATAGCAACGATTAAAGATTATTATTAACTAGCTGTTGCTCCGGACTTCGTTCGCGTAAATTAAAAAAATAATAAAAACATAGCCTACGTTACTCACTGATAACGTAGCTTTCAATGGTGAAAGATTTTTTTTAAATCGGTCGTGTAGTTTTTGGGCTATATTAATACATACAAAAATACAAACCTTTTCTTTTTTTATTATTAGTATAGATATGTTATAAATTTAAAAGTGATAGTTAAAAGTTATTTTTACGAAAACTAAAAGCTTTTAAATTCCTTTGTATTTTTGTACCATCTGGAATTTGTTACTTTTACCCTTACGGAACAGTTAGAATACGTAGTAAAAAATTACTCGGCGGTCAACCGTCAACTACTAGTGCTTGTACATTACGTTGCCAGGTGTAAAAGTAATTTTGTCTCCAAACTTTTATATTATTCAGTAAACACACGGATCCCTTGTATTATACGATATTGTTAAAATTTTAATCTCGCGCTTCTGAACATGAACTAGTTTTAAACGTAAGGATGGTTTATTGAAATTTTTAAATTGTTTGAAAAATATTGTTGTTAGGTTTCGATTTTGAATGACAACATTCACATCCTACTTTGGAATTAAATAAATTGATAAAACTCGATTTAATAAATTAATTAAACACACATTAACATTGCTAATACCTAAGAGTAACTACATAATATTGCTAACGGGTAGAGACAAAAATAGAACTAAAATAATTAGGTCTTTGTAAGTAAATAGCATATGTACTGTATGTTGGTGATGTCCTCTGCCGTCGGTGGGTCGGATACGACTGACCGGACAGGCCATGACAGTAGATAACAGTGTTACCATAATCTCCACTATTATAATAAAGCGTAAACACACACTTCTTTGTTGCCTAAGATGTCAGCAAATGCAGCATATTTTTCAATAATTATTATTTTAATAAAAAGCCCTAGACTTACGTCACGCTTTAGGCTATATATTTTTACGCCATTAAACTTAGGGTGTAAATATTTTGGATAAAAACTCTAATGTAGGAAAGAGACCATAAGTAGCTGCCAACATCAAGGAAACAAGATTTGTCATGTCATGTCATTTTGACATTTGCTATTGATAATTTGACAAACGTTAACAATAATATAAAATTTTCATAATTTCATGCGGATGAAGCCGCACGGGAACAGCTAGTGTAGTATACAGGATAATCTTAAGGTTTATTAACTACCAAATATCCATGATCTAGTCTAGTTAGCGATATCGTTAGTGATATCGTACGATACTCCAGGGATTAAATTTAATCTTTTGAAATTTTAGGTGTTCGACCGCCGTGACCTTGACCTAGAAAACTTACAACTTATCTAAGTTACAATGTAAGAAGATAAACTATCTCGTCTTATTGATAGATTTTTAATATTATCTTTATTCAATACTAGCTTTCGCCCGCGACTCCGTCCGCATGGAATAAAAAAACAAAAGTAGTCTTTGTGTTCATCCAGTCTATCCTCTACATTTGTACTAAATTTCATCGAAATCCGTTCAGCAGTTTAGGTTACAAACTCTAACAAACATCCATCCATATATTCATCTATCCATCCATCTAAACTTTCGCAATTATAACATTAGTAGATTTCAGTTGCTGTATATTGACATAGTAAAAATTGAGCAAGATCTAGATATTTCAACATTAACTTGTATAATTACTAAACTAAACTATTTTTATATTTCTATGACATTTTTAAAGGACAAGAATAGACTTAACGTATACAAAACAGAATTTTATTTTATAATTTTTATAATCTGAATTTCAATTAAAATTTATAAACACTTTTAATTTTACTATCGCACTTTTGTAAGCTTAAAGTAAATGAATGAAGACGACTTTTCGTTTGGTTTACGACTGAGGAATCCCACTGAAGTGTTCAGTATAAAAATAAAGAAATTGAGTTGTTACTTTATCTTAAAAAATTTAAGTTAGGATTTCAAAGAGATTGTCTACGAAATATAAAAAACAATTTTATTGTATCGTACTTCAGTCAAACTTATTACATAAAGAATTTTTATGTGTAAATTTGGGCTTATTTAAACAAAACCCGTAGTTTTTTTTTTATTTCGTTAATTAAAATTAATGGAATAGCGGGTTACCTATGTATCTGATATTAAAGTGTAAACACACACACAAACACACACTACTTTGTGGCGTAAGATGTTAGCAATCACAGAATATTTTTGGGTTATTCTTTCTTTAGTATAAAAGCCCTTTAATTACGTCACCCTTTAGGCTCTATATTTTCACGCTATTAAACTTAGGGGGTAAGTAAATTAGTTAAAAACCCTAATGTCGGAAAGGGATCATAAGCTACAAGCTGCCAACATCAAGAAAGTAAG